TGAATGATATACATGCACATGTGACATAGGGTATGGGCCAGTTCATAAAATCACTTGCTAGATGCAGTGCATTTTATTGATATGCCATCTGACAATCCATGCATGTGGCACTTGCATACATTTATAGTACTAGAAGTAATTTACATATTTTGAAATTGAGTGCATACAAGCTACTATTTCAAGCTGTAGTTATGATTTGAGCTACAATGCAAGTTGCCAATAAACGGTACTTTCCATCCTCGGTATCCCCAGCGGTTTCATTCCGTTTTACTCCACTAACCCCTGGGTTAATCTATGGAGGAGACAAGTTTTCAAGTTATCCGCCCTTGATGGTTGTGCTATTTTTATCAACCAATCCCATCAATAATTAATTGAAAAGGAAGTTGTCAAAGGGAAGTAACTCTCAACGGACAAGGCTAGGAGTTAGCCTAAATGAGAGAAGTCCAAATTATTCTCATACGTATTTATTAACAACAAATTATATAATATTATATCAATATGTAGGTTCAAAAGTTTTATTGAGAATCGTTCGTTCGCGGAGTCTTACGCCCACCTGATATTGTAGACGAATTTATTGTGAATCAAATTGCCAAGTTTAAGTTCAATAATAATAAACATAACAGAATGAAACATTTCAGACAAAGAACGAATAGTAATAATAATAACAAAAGGCCACAATTCTTAATCGATCGTCTTGAAAAATTTTGTATGAATTCCTATACCCTAAGGATGATCCCTATTGTTTTTGGTGCATGCCCGACCCCTTGGAACATAGCCACGCCCATTTCTTGTATTTATTTGTTTGTCATCTACAGGCCACAATTCTTAACAGATCATTTTGAAACTTTGCATACCTATTCCTTATACCCTAAGGATGCCCCCTTTTTTTGGTGATTGCCCAACCCCCAGGGGCAGAGCCACACCCATTTGTTCTTTGTGTCTCTGTGAGTTGCCTACAGGCCACGATTCCTAATGGATTGTCTTTGAACGTGGGATATGTATTCCTTATAGCCTAAGGACGACAACTGCATGTCCCGACCTCCAGGGGCAGAGCCACGCCCAATTTTTGTGTTTATCGTTTACAGACCGGCCTTCTGAATGGATCAACTTTGTACTTGGCATATGTATTCCTTATAGCCTAAGGGCGTCAACTATTGATTTTGGTAAATGCCCCGACCCCCAGGGGCAGAGCCACGCCCAATTTTTGCCTTTAGGGCCCGAAGGCCACAATTCTGAATGGATTATCTTGAAACTTTGAATACTTATTCCTTATACCCTAAGGACGGCAACTATTGATGTTGTCATTTCAATAACAGTGTGGTACCTATTTATATTGTTCCATATCCAACACCCAGGGGCAGAGCCACACTCATTTTTTGTATTTATCGTCTACAGGCTGCAATTCTGAATGGATCATCTTGGAACTTGGCATATTTATTCCTTATACCGTAAAGACAGTAACTATTTGTTTTGGTGCTTGCCCCGACCTCCTGTGGCAGTGTCACACCCACTTTTTTGTTAGTATTTTGTCTGTAAATTTGGCAAAACAAACCCAACGCCTAGCCTTGTTTGCCTGTTATCATATTACAGCCATTTCATATTTCATTCTCTTCATTTTAAAAAGTACCATATCAATCAATGCTGGAATGTGGACGTAAATTGCAGCGTTAGCGATGTTCTTGTTTTGTTACCGATAAAGTTACCTGTCGGCACCGAAAGTGACATAATTTTACCAAAAACTACATTTTTGACACTTCGGTGCCACTTTTTGAAAACAAATATTATTTTTTTTCAAATCTGGTATAACTGATAGGGTGTGCACTAAACATCGAGATATATATTTTTTTTAATTTCGATTTCGTTTTCGGGCTATTTCAATTAAAAAACAGTGGTTCTCAACCTTTTTTGCCAACGACACACTTTGGAACACATAAAAAAAATAGCGGCACACTTGGCTAATTATATATGAAAAATATTTTGATTTTGTAAAATAAAAACATGGCAAATCATAGACGACATACGACCGTAAACACAGACTAGTCATATACACATAGTATGACTCATACTAAATAAAAAATAACACAGATATGAACTTATCAGTAGACACCAGCGAATACTCAATTGTCAATTGGGATCACGTGGTTTTCACATTTTCTTAGTGTGCCGTTCAACATTTCGCGGCACACTGCTTAGGAAGATCACTGGTTGAGAATCACTGGATTAAAAGATGAAAAAACGTGTAAAATTAACCTATTTACAACCCATTATATTTCTTCGTAGCCTTCATAAACTCGTAGCAATAATCCATACGAAGAGACTGTATGTGGAAATTAGTTTGTAATACGAGCATGCGTTATTTTTATTACGTTATTTTGCCTGTAAAAGAGTCAATTATCATTCGATTTTCAAATTTTCTTACCATTTGATGCCTAATGCCAATTTTCACTAGGTCAAACCAATTTGACATATTCACTGTCGCCGGAAATTACGTCATTTTTGCAAAATTCTCTTTTTATTCTTAAAAACAGATATTTTATTTATGAACCCCTACGATCATGCAGATACCACAAAATAGTTTCTAACTTGTATGGTTGCAGAGAAATAGACGATTTTCTACAAGTCACTTTTCAAGGTTTTTGGTTATACCCATTTCATTTCTATAATTGGGAGCCCACAATGTCTCAGTCAGTAAACTGTTGGCTGCTGCATTGGCTGAGAAAGTTTACATGGATCTTCCGGGGTGATCCCCCCTTGTCAGTGGTGTAGGACGCAGGGCATGGCAAAGTCGTTCGGATGCACATTAAGAACCCTTGACAGTTGGAATTCGATGTAAGAGTAGGCAATAGCGCCCCTGTCCAGGCAAAATTTCCCTCGTAGCTCAATGCATGGCATATATCGGTTTTCTTTAGCACCTATTGGACATTAAAACCCATTTAAGTTTATTTCATGTATATAATATTGACAATAACAATCGTTAACATTTAATCTTGCAATATATTTCGGGAAGAGAAAAGTAAAAAACGGGCTTTGGATTTAACATTGTAAACAATAAGGTAAAACTTTTATTATCCCGTTCGAACGTATTATGGGGTCTGTCCGTCCAGATTTCGTTTACAAAGCATATCTCATAAACCGTTTATGGTATCTTTATGAAACTTTATGAACATAACCTACAATAGTTGTACCTTTTGCCAGGGGCGTAAATGTGGGGGGGGGGGTACACCCCCCAGGAAAAAAAATAGTCGGTCGCAAAATCAGTGCAGTCGGTCGCAAAATAAGAGCAGTCGGTATGAAAATAAGTACTCACTGCACACGTCACGCTACTCACGCAAAACTTTAGTATAAAATAACCTTGTCAACTTATCATGTTTGAAAAAATGATGTGTTTCACTATTATTCTGTTGTGAGTATGTAGGTCTAAGAACAAAATTTCCCCCAGGGAGAAAAATAGTCGGTCTCAAAATAAGAGCAGTCACTGCAGTCGGTCTCAAAATTATGCATTGCCGTCTTAATGAATTAAGGAGGTAAACAAATAATGCCAGAATAGATCCCAAATACTAGTCGGTCGCAAGATCAGTGCAGTCGGTCGTAAGATATGAGCAGTCGGTATCAAAATAAGTGCTCACAGCACACGTCACTCTACTCACGCAAAACTTTAGTATAAAATAACCTTGTCGACTTATCATGTTTGAAAAAAATGTTTTTCACCCAATGGCAAAAAAATAGTCGGTCTCAAAAAAAAAGTGCTCACCGCAGTCGGTTCCAGACTAAATGAATTAATGGGGTGTTTTCTGACCATCAGAATTCTGCAAAATCTCTCCCCACAGTCCAGGGCATTTCAGAGACCAAGTAAGCGCCCCATTGAGGTAAAGTGCCCTCAGGCCCAGTCCTCAAAAATTAAAAGCTCAGTTACATATCGGCGCTCAATTCCATTATGCCATCATTCTTCAACTCCTTCTCTGTCTTATACTATCTCATCACTATCATATTCACAGTTACAGTGAATCGCCCAGTTAGTAGTACCACTAGTGAGTGAGTCGTGGGTCAAAAGACAGTAGAATTGTTAGTTCTACTCTCACAAAACAGACGACATTGACAAATAGGCCTCAAGATTCTGTCCCATTTCTTATCCCCTCGTTAACGAGAATTTGGATCCATTTGCCATGACATTGACTAAAATTGTCAGGCCCAGTCCCAAAAATTTAAAGCTCGGTTACACATCTGAAATTTTTTCGCGCCTGCGGCGCTCGATTTCATTATAACATCATTCTTCCACTCCCCTGTTGTCTTATACTGTCTCAGCACTATCATATTCACGGTTATACTGAACTGCCTAGTTATGTTAGTAGTACCACTAGCACTGGTGTGTGGGTCGTGGGGCGTCAGACTATACAAAAGTTCTGTCAGCTCTTGCAAAACAGGCGGAATTGACAGAGACGGATCTTGAGATTTTGTCTAATTGACTCACATTTCTGGTCCTCTCGTCCACAAAAATTTCTCCCAGCAATGACCTCAAATGCCAAGATATTGACTCAATTTTTCAAAATTTTCTCAGATTGCTCAGTGTTATAGGCACAATCATATATGACATTATATAATTATAAAATACCATCTATGTTCTACCGGGGCGCTTAATGTTATAGCCTGCAGTATTTTGTTGACATTCATTGTGGGGTGGGATTGTGGCTGGGGTGGCGCCCTAGATTTGGACCCCCCCACCCCTATCTAGATCCGCTACTGCACATGGCCCCCACAAAACTCGCACCTGTGGTGCTCGGCTCCTGACTGCGTCACTCGTACTAGGGGTATGGACATCAGTCGGTCGCATTTTGGCTAAACACCCCCCCAAACAAAATCGTTATGTACGCCCCTGGTCAATAGTCTGTTGCTAAGTATTGCTGTCAACGGTTTACTAGTGAGTGGTTCAGTAATTGGTGATGTCTCAAATGTCAGCTGTTTATTGTCAACTGTCCAATGGTAAATGATTCAATAAACATTGGTGGGAATGACCGTTGATCTATAGGACAGTTTACTTAATTAATAACAACCTATACTATTGTACATGTACATGGTGATATATGAATCTGATAATTATTAATTTTACACTGAAAGATCCACATATGAATAAATAATGTACTTTCATGTTACTTTTAAGACATGTGCTGTTTGCCACCAAAAAGATCATGTTTTGGAAAGATCGAGATATCTCAAAGATAAAAAAAGAAAAGATTTTGTATGCTGCACCTGACAAAGTTTCTGTTTCAATTTTTTACCCATATATTTTAAAACTGGCGTGGCAAGGTCCGATGGCATCGGGAAAAAGTTTACGGGCTTATTCCATCCATGCCAGGGACTATCACTACTCGCTTCACCAACGTCACTCTCATCAAATTCTAATTCACATCTTTGTATATCTTTTATTGTATCTATTAATTCCTCTGATGACACAGGTTTTTTCAGGTCGGACATAGCACAGTATCAAATCATTCAAATCTGAAGTAGAATTATGTTATATTCCAGCACATTTAAATAATTTTTTTGACTTAATATATTGTCTAGTTAATCTATAAAGATAAGATGTGTTGATAAATAATGTATTTTTCCACACATATAAGTTCTTCTGTGGAGGAAGACAACTGTAGATCTTTAATTTCAAATCTTATATCATTAATTGCACTCAATAAGTATCCGTTATAAGCAGCAATTTCACATTTTTTCATGTGAATGTTCTTTCAGAGAAGCTGCTTCTGCAGCTTTTATTTGATCTGAATTCAAAGAACACTTCAGCAAAAATTGGCAACGTTGGTAAAGAAACATCACAGAACTCCGTCTTAGACCTAAAATGTCCATTGTTAAGAATAGTTAATTTTTTTTTAAATTTTGGTGGAATTTGTTGTCAACATTCTACTGATACGGTAGCCTGAAACTTGACCATCTGAAAATAGATAATATATACACTAATTAAACTATATTCTTACTATTAATATAGTACTGTTGAAGATATACTATGATATAATTTTTACATATATAACTATGAATACATCAACTGGATCTTTTGGGACTAATACATACAGTCTTATAATTAACACTGATATATGTGATAATATTGGACCTTTGTATGTACACTTTCGTCAGTTCAAAATGAGTTACTCAAAAATAGTGGAACTGGGCTGAAAAATAGTAAAGTTCTTCTGTAACCCTTCTGTTATAGAGTAAAAATGTGTTTCATGTCCACTCAACACAAACCAAATCATTTCGAGACTAACATGTGGTTCAATTTCCTTAATTCGGTCTTTAGCAGTGTGGGGGGGGGGGGGGGAGTACCCAGAGAAAGCCCACCAGGTTATACAGGCGAGTCTACTCCTTGTCATGTACAAACGAGGAATCAAAACCATGTCATTTGACTCAATGACGGTTAATGCGCGGACAGCAGTCAACCCACTCATCTTATTTCGAATCCCATCTTTCTAGGATTCTTTTTGTGCATGTTGGTGACTGACGTTTTCTTTTTATCCCATCCCAACAATTAGATATATAGATTGAAACCACCCATCTCAACTCAGTGACGACCATATACCACTCGACCACCCAAGCTGGTTAATGCGCGAACAGCAGTCAACGAAATACGATCTTTCTAGGATTCTTTTTGTGCATGTTGGTCACTGACATGTACACAGGACCCCTGTTTTCTTTTTGTCCTATCCCAACAACTAGATATATAGTTCCTTGTTAAAAAGCCAACATGTTACTTACTATGGGTCATAATTTTCAGACACTTGCAGGGGATCAGTGGGTGGAGGTCTGTATTATCCGAAATTACCTGTAACTTTTGTCTTTTACTGGTATACATTAATTGAAACTGTGAAACGATTCTGTATGTGCCTGTAAAATAAAGCATTTTCTAGTGTTATATTTTTCTTTCAAGTTGGCTGTGACCTCTCTAAATTACTGATCATAATTAGCTTTTTGGCAGACAAGATTTATTTTTATGCAAAAGACTTATATTTCTAATGATAAGTTAAAATAAAATTGAGTAATAAGCTCACAATTTAATAGCTTAGGCCAATTAAATAGGGGATATCTGATCATATAATTCAATCACATTTGAACCATCTATTCAACACTAACTGCCAATAATACATTTAATATGTAATATCAGACATACTAAAATATATATAACGGTGGGATAATTATAAAACAACAAATGAAAACAGAAACGTATTATACGTTTATGATACAAATAAAAGTTTCGCGAATCGAAAGAAGATACAAATTCAAAATCATTGACAAATAGCTTAAAAGAATTTCGTCTGCCATAATTTTGGGGTTTCAATCTATAAACAAATTCTGCGGCGGTGGCTATTTTGACAAAAAGTTCTGCTCTAAACAATGATCTAAAGATGAATAATGCTCTGATGAATAATCCTGCTGTTGGGACCAATCTATAGAAAATTCTGCTGTGATAGCTACATGTATTCTGACGAAAAATTCTGTTGTGGTGGCGATTCTGCCGAATTATTCTGCTGTGATGGATAATTCCCGATAAGATGGATAATCTAATGAAAATTCTTGCTGTCATGGATAATCTCAAGAGAAATCCCGATTATGTCTCCAAAGCTGAATGCTTCAATAACTTCTGTAGCGACCACTGCCCTGTGTACTGTCAACTTTCATTTCATAGTCCACAAAAACGATCCTTTAAACGACTAATTCGGGATTATGGGAAAATGAATACTGATGCACTTCAACAAGAAATCCACAGTACTGACTGGGACACACTCCTCACTATACGGTCGATGAGTCATGTAAATATATTCCAAATAAATTAGTAACCATTAGACCAAGAGATATGCCGTGGATGAATAATAGCATAAGGAAGTTAAGAAAATTGAAAAATAAAATCGACAAAAAAGCTAAGTAGTCAGATTTGGCAGACCACTGGATACTATTTCGTAAGACAAGAAATCAATATAGATCTTTAATTCGGAAATGTAAAAGTGAATATCAAAAAAGTTTAGATAATAAAATTAACGATGTCAATTACCTTGGATCAAAGTCCTGGTGGCAGGTAGTCAACTCATTTATAAAAACTACGGGTTCATCGAACCATGACATACCTCCTATAACAACAAATACTGGCACAGTCTCAAATTTTTTCTGCGTATTTAGAGCTAGCGACAATGTAACTTCTAAAGTAACTAAAGCGCCCACTAACAACAGAGTTTTACGGTTAAATAAAAGTAACTTTCACAGTCTTGCAGTGTCGGTATGTTGCCACGAGAGTGGATTTAAAAGATAGAAAAAGGGCGAAACTACATTAATTGACTCTGAACTGAGAACCGTTACAATATATACGTCATTGGTTATAATCAACTAACTTAGAAATTAAATCGCCGAGTTTTAGCCAAAATTTTAATCTAGTTCGTAACTACTTATTTTTAAAAGTCCAACGAGTAAATATAAATTTTTTACATGGCTTCATTGATAAATAAGTGAGTGAATATTGTCACGTGAATGTCTATTTTGGGCGACTGTTTGCTGCCTACAGTGCACGAGCGAGCCCGTGAGAGCACTTTTCTCATAAACGAAGTTTTGATCCGCGTGACAACATGCTGTTAAAACAGGTCAGTTTATATAGTACAGATAATTGAGTCTGTGGGCCACTCTATTAAAGATCTTAATCACCCACTGCCATTTATTAACTGAAATACCAACAGTATAACCAATATTATTCTACAGCCGAATGAAGTTAAAGACATGCTTGACTCTATCGATACTGCTAAATCCTCTGGCCCTGATCATATTAGCGGATTATTATTAAAATCTATATCCAAAGGAATTTCTAACCCATTATGTACTCTGTTTAATCTTTCCTTAGGCGTGCTACCTTCCCTTTGATTTGGAAACATGCTAAGGAAATAAGGATATATGTTCCACCTATCGCCCGATATTATTACTCTCAATAATAAGAAAAATCTTGAACGTTGTATTTATAAGCATAACTTGAGCTTCCTTCTAGACAACAACACACTTACAAAATTCCAAAGTGGTTTTATGAAAGGAGACTCGACTATCTATCAACTTCTAGACTTAAATGATTTTTATTGTAATGCAACCGATAAGGGTTATTATACGAGAACGGTGTACTGTGACATCAGCAAAGCATTCCATAGAGTTTGGCATGCTGGACTCCGTCTTAAGCTTGATGCTGTCGGGGTTTGAGGCACATTGTGTAGTTGGTTTAAAAGTTATATAGCTGGTCGATCACAGTGTGTTATGGACAATGTCGCCTCGGAGTCATCATTCGTCACTTCCGGTGTTCCACAGGGCTCCGTTCTCGGTCCGCTTCTATTTTTAATCTACATTAATGACATCATTGAAAATATTCAATCAAATATCAAATTGTTTGCTGATGACACGTCTGTCTACTTACTAATAAAAGATCCGTCGGAAAGGGCGAAAATAATGAATTCGGATATCGAGAAATCAACGTCTGGTCCAAAAAATGGCTGATTTCCTTCAACCCCACAAAAACAGAATCACTAACAATATCTATCAAACCACACAATAACATATCACCACATTTTATAGACACTGTTAAAATAAATGATGGGTCTTTTCTTGCAACACAAACTTAAATGGGATAGCTACATAAATAATATTTGTAATAAAGTATCAAAATTAATCAATTGTTTAAGATCCCTAAAGTACAGGCTAAATAGAAAATCTCTTTTCATGATTTACAATTCTTATATACTACTGCATTTCGACTACGTCGACATTATTTGGAACAATTGCACTGATCACCTAGCAAACCAACTAGAACACCTTCAACTTGACGCCTTACGCACTATTTGTGGGGCTGTAAAGGGAACTAAAGAAAAACCCTGCTGGTGGGACTAATCTATAGAAAATCATGTTGTGGGAACCAATCTGAAAACAAATTCTGCTGTGATGGCTATTTTCTGACGAAAAATTCTGCTGGGCCGAATATTCATACATCAGATAAACTGCTTTTAAAGGTCAAACCGGTTCAACTCGTCTCTTATGGTCGGGACTCTTTTAGTTTTCAAGCGCCTGTTTTATGGAATAATCTTCCATTTAGTATACATCTCTATATTCTTTTAAAAAACAACTTAAAGATACTTTCCCAGAAAAGTATTTATCGGGTGGTACTTTCCAATAAAAGTATGTCAAATTTGGTATATATGGAAAGTATAGACACCCAATCTTACTAGAAAAATACTGGATTACCCGAAAAACACCCATGGAGCAAGCACTGGGCAAAATTGTCAGGGTATCACTAACTGGCAACCCGACTGTTATCTGCCAGCTTATTGTGTGCCAGCTTAATTGAGGGAGTGGTTGTTATTTCTTGATAAAATGGTTAAGCGGTTTTTGGAACATTGAGGGGTGTCAAGGTACAAAAGACTCTGCAAATAGACGGCGGTAAAAGAAGTTGACAGAAATAATTAAGAATTTACTTAGGCCTCAATATGTATGGTAAATATATGTATACAGTAAGAAATGATAAATACATTCTGAAAAATGACCCCCCCCCCCCCCACACACAATGAAGACAATGCTTCTAACAACAGCTTACTTATAAGCTTACTTATAACTACAATCATTGTTTTTTAATGAATGTCGACCGAGGGGAGGTTTTTTCCCCCTCTTCTTAACACTAAAAATCGCTGTCCTTTACGAAGTCATGGGGGGGCTTATTGTCATTTATGAATCCAGGAATGACCACCTAACATGCAGTTATTGTTCTTCAGAACCATTTCCCATACACACAACTAATCACTCTCCTTAATATCAGATCACTTTCCTTAATTTTTAAATTACTCTCCTTAATTTCTAAACCACTCTTCTTATCGAAATTCAGAGAGCTTTTTTATGGGAGCGATTTTTTCAATTTGTTGATTAAGGGGAGCTTTTTCGGCTCTCCTCTAAAATACAAACAATAACGAATGTTTGGGTGCACACGTTGCCTCATGATTTTTAAATTTTCGACCGATTTTCTTGTAGATTGTCCAGAGTGTTTCATTATAAAAGTACACTTAATATGTAAAAAAATAAAAGAATCAAAGTATGTTTAGGGGGGGGGGGGGCAACTGTCCACTTCAAAATTTGAAATTTTGACAAAAATTATTAAGTCAAATTATTTACATGAAAATAAAACTCTTTATAAGTATTTCTCATCAAATAATCAACTTATTCAACATGTGCAAAATATTACAAGGGGCAACCAATTGAGCAGTACGATCGTTTTTAAAGTTGAGAATTATCAATGCAATTCTAGACAAATTGACATTTCCTTGATATTTCTTAAAATCATTATAAATCAGACATTGACTCGGTTAGTTTCACAACAACTAGTGAAAAAAATGCCATAGGAAAACTTTAGTATGTGACTACATCATTTATCAGTTGTTACAACATCAATATAGTAATGCACATAATTATGGCGAAGACTTTTGCAAGTTTGGTCTATCCTTCCTGTTTTTTCTACCACTTGGACCACATTTTGATAATGCTCTTCATCTTTAGTACTGGACAAGCATTCAATACAAAGTTGCACAGCCCTCTCAGCTGCATCATTTACTACACTTATTATTAGAACAAGAAGAAATTTGATACACGTCATTGTCAGGCCACGAATCAGGACCATGAGAGAGAAAGTCGTTGTGTCGTTCAAATACCCTGAATACGAACCTGGAGTCTACAGTCACCAAATCCCTAAGTTTGGAAGACTTGGTGACAGCGCTTGGAAAAACAGGCTTCCCATAGCCAGTTCCGAAGCGATTCACAACGCTTGCAATAGGAAAATCGGGTTTGATGCTCTTCAACTTTTTAGATACAAGTTCTTTATCATTAATTGT